ACCTTTCCAACAGCCCTCGGGCAATCGAGCACGCCTATCAGTATGGAGGAACAGCCAACAGCCGCCAAGAATTTGAACACTTAAAAGGAGATTTCGGTGAAAAGTAAATTAACACGCTACACTTCTAGAAAATTAATGACATGACTGGGCTCCATCCTTGTGTGCCAGATGTCCTCTTTTTTCCTATCCTCTTTCCTATCTGTGCCACCTTAATCCTATTATTTTATCATCAAAATAAATAGTACATGATTTATGCTTTCCAACAAATTATATTCTCTGTGACTTTCTCCTTCAAAGGTCAGGTGAATAAAACAGCATTGTCCGAGGAGTTTGGTATGTTGGATCAAAAAGAAAAGATAATTAAGGAAAGGAAGATGGAATAAGTTTCAAATGACCAATTATCTACCTTGCTATCATCTTCCCTTCCCCATACAAATTGCTCCCAGATTGTAAATGGGAATGCATTCTAACTGCTGGAAGGTTAATAAGGAAAGTCTCTGAAATACGATTATGCTCGTATGTATTGCCTTCCAGCTGTCTCTAACCCCATCACCTCTTCCTCAATAACTTCCTCAATAACTTCTCTAACCCCATCACCTCTTCCTCAATAACTTCCTTGAGTATTTCACAAATCTCCAGGACATTGAATATGACTAGAGATTCATTTGGATAGTTTTAGCACTCAACTAGTCTTATGGAGGTTTGGGGATATTTGTTATTGTTGTTGTTTAGAGACAAGGTCTCAGTCTGTCACCCATGTTGGAACTCCTGGCCTCAAGCAATCCTCCCACCTCAGCTTCCTGAGCAGTTAGAACTACAAGCACGTGCCACTGCACCCAGCTAATGTTTTTTATTTTTTTGTGGAGACAGGGATCTTGCTATGTTGCCTAGGCTGGTCTAGAACTCCTGGCTTCAAGTGCTCCTCCAGCCACAGCCTCCCAAAGTACTAGGATTACAGTGGTGAGCCACTGCACTTGGCCTGGGTTGATGTAACTCTTTCAAACATTCATACAGACAATGCATTCAAACATTGAATTCAAACATTCATACAGGCAAGGCAAAACAACCTCTATTGCCTTCTAATTTGCCACTCGCCTACTAGGCAGAATCAGTATTTCGTATTTGTCAGGAAGAATTTAATCAAACTAGAAGTTAACCTAATGAAGATTAACTTTATCCATAGCCTAGAGCTAAATTTGTAGAAAGTTTTGTTTAATTTCTACACACATCTGTGGCTGCTTTTAACATGTTTTTAATGAGTGATATCCACTGATGAATTTTTACTGGGCAAAGAATTTAATTTGCATTTTAGATAATACACAAATAATACTATTTTGAAGCAAATTTACATATGCATACTAATTATGCACTAGTATTTAATCTACATGGATAAGCTTCCTTCATATATACACTTTTACAAAATTGCAACCCTGTTTTCAAAGCGAGACATGGTAAGATCCCTAACTGAAACTTCCTTAAATCTTTACATCTTTATTGTAGATGGAGTAGAAATACATTTTTGAACTATTCATGTTTACCCCATATTCATTAACAACACTAAGGGAATTATCAGAAATAATGCTGCTTGGGACTAGATAGAATGGCTGCTTATTTATTCTCCGTTACACGGTGTTACTTGGAGAAGTTGGAGATTACCCTTAGTCTCCTTTTATATTTGGTAAGCTTTTTGTTTTTCATTTACCAGATCTCAGTTTTCCATTCGTCTGAAAACTCGTTCCTCCCATGGGATGATTTTCTATGTCTCGGACCAAGAAGAGAATGACTTCATGACTCTATTTCTGGCCCACGGCCGCTTGGTTTTCATGTTTAATGTGGGCCACAAGAAACTGAAGATAAGAAGCCAGGAGAAATACAATGACGGATCGTGGCACGATGTAAGTTGGAGGCAGAGAATAGCGTTATTGGCAAATTTCTACCATTATCAAATGGGCTCACCCTAACGCCCCACCACTGATCTCTTCAGAAATAGCCATTATAAAATTGTTTCCCTGTACACTCAGAGTTCAATTTCAAAAACTTCTATTAATTCCTGACAAAAATTTTGAAACATACTATTTAAAAAGAGACAAAGGCTAAGTGTAATTAGTTTAACCAAAGGATCAGCAATGTAACTGAAGTTTGGTTTCTATTGATTTTCACTTAATTTTTTCCCACTATTTATTGGTTCTTAATTTTCAACAGTTATTACTGAGAGTCTTTTATAGACTAAGCTGTGGAAGACACAAAGTGAAGAATAAATCAGGAAGACAGGATATCTATCCCAGGGGGAGCACATAAATATTGAAAGAAATCAGGGGGGTAGTGATGGCCAGAGTAAGCCATGCAAGGTGCATTAATAATTAATTACAAGTTTGAAAGAGGCAGGGAACATGTGGGCTGGTGAACCGGGAAGAACGTCACAGAGAACTCGGCTAAATATAAGCTGTATTCAGAAATTAAGGCTGTAGCTTTAAATCATCCTATCTAAAAGTCAGAAAATATACGGGTCATTTCCTCTAATACATGAAGTGGTAAAGTGAAGGTAAGCAGGGAAAAGTTCATCTATGTTTGCAAAGCCAGGAGGCCTGGAGACAATAAAGGGATATGCTGTACAACAAAACAGAATCAATAAGGGATAAAGTTTCCGTCATTCTCAAAACTGTATTGCCAGCCCACCCAACAAAGGAAGAAACAAACTCTTGACCTTCAGAGAAGAGACTACTTTTTAAAGTAAACTCTGCAGATTCCCACAGCGCTGCAGTAGCAGAGTTGGAAGGAGGGGCAACGCAGCCTTTTCTGCAAGTTAGGTATGTACCCAAGACAAGCTGTTTTCCTTCTCTGCATTCAGGTGATATTTATTCGAGAAAAGAGCAGCGGCCGACTGGTAATAGATGGTCTTCGAGTCCTAGAAGAAAGTCTTCCTCCTACTGCAGCTACCTGGAAAATCAAGGGTCCCATTTATTTGGGAGGTGTGGCTCCAGGAAGGGCTGTGAAAAATGTCCAGGTAAGCCGGGCATAACCAGGCACAGACACTGACCTGTAGGCATGAAAGATCCCTTAGTTGAGGCCCTCATTTTGCAGAATGGGAAACTGGCAAGAGTAAATTGGTAGTTTGGCTGGAGATGGAATATCAAAGTGAGTATTGTCCTACGGGCTGTCTGCTCTGTCACATTACAAATTCAGGAATGATCTGTTTGATTCTAAAGTACATGTGAGATGGAAAAAGTTTCAGAGATAAAAATTATCATGAAAATGTGTATCTCCAGGGAATCTTACTTGTTTAGCAAGTACCCTTTACACTTACTGTAAAGAGATGCCAAAAAAGAAAGCAAGTCTTTCCATATTATTGAGTGAAAGAAATGTGCTAGGTAATTATGTAAACTGTGGTCCCATTTTTGTTTCCTGCACACAGACACACAGAATTTGTAAATGGGCATAGAAATTCGGTTACCTTGGGGATAAGTGAATCTATGATACATGTTATTTATGTAATATAAAAGTTAAAAATATTGCAACTTTCAAAAATATTTAGTAGTAAAGGAAGGGTATCAAAGAATTTGATTAAGTTTTCCTTAACATAAATTAGTATTGCTTTTAGCACTAAGTGTTAAATAATACATTTTCTAAGATCCATTAATATGTGCAGATAAAGCGAAAACGTTTATAATTATATTCTAAATAAGCAGTCCCAATTTCATATCAACCTCTTTAAAAGATTTCTAAATGCAGGCTCAGCACCGTAGCTCAGTGAGTAGGGCACAGGTCACAAACACCAAAGCTGGCAGGTTTGAGCCTGGCCCAGGCCTGCTAAACAACAATGACAACTGCAACCAAAAACTAGCCGGGCATTGTGGTGGGTGCCTGTAGTCCCAGCTAGTTGGGAAGCTAAGGCAAAAGAATTGCTTAAGCCCAGGAGTTTGAGGTTGCTGTGAGCTGTGATGCCACACCACCCTAGAGGGTGACATAGTAAGACTCTGTCTCAATTAAAAAAAAAAAATTTCTAAATGCAATATGAAATCAGTGGCATAAAATGGACCAAGTTTCATGGCCAACGGTAGAATAAATTCTCAACCACAGAAACACTCTGCTGCTTATTTAGCTATGGGAGATTTAAGTTAAAAACTTTGCTGGCTCTTATCAGCATTAGGTGGTCTTGGGCATAAACATCTTTCTTGAAGGAAAAGAAACTAGAACACTTCTAATACTCAATTTGAAAACCATAGCTGCAATTTAGTTTGTCGAGTTGTTATATAAAAATTTCCATAGTTTAATTACAACAGGTTGACATTATCAAATAAAAAATTCCAGCTTCAAAGAACTAGTTACAAAGTAGCTACCTGGAAAGGTATTGATCATTCAGATAGCTAAAATAAAAAAGACGAGGAATTACTTGGTATCTCTCAAAATTCAAACCTCCACATTTCACTTCCTCTTGGTGCATGTGTTAAGAAAATGGATTTTAAGACATGTCTTCTTCTCTCAGATTAATTCGGTCTACAGTTTCAGCGGCTGTCTCAGCAATCTCCAGCTCAATGGGGCCTCCATCACCTCTGCTTCCCAGACATTTAGTGTGACTCCTTGTTTTGAAGGTCCGATGGAAACAGGAACTTATTTCTCAACAGAAGGAGGATATGTGGTTCTAGGTAACATGAGTTATGAAATGTTTCTTTCCTGGATATGATGAGCAAGCAATATCTGGCCCCGAGTGAAAAACTGAGAATGTCAAACTCAGTCCTAGGAGATGACCTCTTTCCACAAGCACCCCTTTCCCCCCTCCCACCACTGGACACCTCCCTGTTTGCTTACCAGAGCTTTTCCACAGCTGCCAAACTTCTCGATGCAGACCATCTATCTCAGCTCCTTCAGAACCGCCTGTGCTGCTCCCCTAGGTCTGGCTCTATTCCCTTTTGTATGAACCATTGTCCCTGTAAATGAAGTTCCACTTCTTCCCCCCAACCTGTGACAACAGCAGACAACACTATCCTTCAGAAGTTTTATTTCTGGAATTTTATTCCCCTCCATCATTACTCTCTCATTCATTCAACAGTTTTTATGGCATGCCTCCCATATGACCATCCCTATGTCAAATGAATGGAATATAATTCCAAAATTAAATAAAATCCTGGCAGACTACACACAATCATCACTCAGTCCAGTCCAACATTCTATAGAGCAAGCCTTGGGTGTGAAGAAGGCACCAGAATAGGTACCAGGAATGAGGATAGCAAAGGGGTATAAGAGCACATGTTCTCAGCCCTTAAGACACTTACGTGCTCTGTGCCGACCCTGAGTAAAGGAATGTAATGCAGCCAAGTATCCTTTTTTAAGCCACCACCATGTCTAATAGGGTAACTAGAGATAGTATTTCCCCCCTTTGGCTCATGATTTCATTCTCCTTCTCTGCTCCCCCCCCCTTATTCCTACTAAAATACCTACATTCACATTTCTCAGTCCTTCATTGAATTTCAGTGATAAGAATGCTACAGTTTTGGACAGCTTGAAATACATAGCAACCTGTACAATTTGTGCTATGCCATGAACGTTAACTAATAGCAGGAAAAATTAAAAAGTGATTTATAAGGAGACACGTCAAGTGAACATCATTAAGATGCCCAGGTTTGCCATGAGTTCTTGGAGTGAACACAGCTATTCTTAATAAGAATTTTCTGGAATCACCTCAACTTCAGCCACTCTCACTTCCTGTCTTCTCTGAAATGCTCTGCAGCACTGGCACCAGTTAGGTTTTTGCTTAAGAATTATTTTTAAAAATATGTCTGACCAAGTCAGCTCCTGTGCTCGTGACTACAAAATTAAACCTCACTTCCACTAGGGCCCTTCCCAATGTGGCTCCCCACTCACCTCCTTCTTCCCTTACAAAGACAGTCCAGCCACACTGGCCTGCACCGTGCTCTCCAAGCATTCCAGCCTCTGAATCTGTGTTTAAGCTACTTCCTCTGCCCAGATGGCCCTGCCTTCCTCACAGGAACATATTAAATGGTGCTGCTATTTGGAGTTCACTTATCCTTTCCTGAACTCTCATAACACGTAGAGTATTTTTAGCTGTGGTTCCCAGCCTCATGCCCCATGCGTGACAGGAGTGATGTGTTAGTTATCCTAGTACCTAACAGAGCTTTCCACAGTGAATTTGATATGGAAAAGTCACTTTCTACTTATCTGTTGAAAAATGCATCAAACATTCAAAACCAAATACAAAAATATATAATTACAAAATCACGCCATAGTTACAAAACCTATCTTGCTGTTCTTGAGAGTTTATAGGATTTCTCTCCACAGATGAATCTTTCAATATTGGATTAAAGTTTGAAATTGCATTTGAAGTCCGTCCTAGAAGCAGTTCCGGAACCCTTGTCCATGGCCACAGTGTCAATGGGGAGTACCTAAATGTTCACATGAAAAATGGGCAGGTAGCGTTTTGAAATTTTTTTGACAATTTGTCTCCTCTAACCTTGGATTCCTGATCTGAACACATTTATTTCACAGGATTGTATCATCAATCTTTCCTAACTGGAAAAAAAAAAAAATAAGGAAGTTGCAATGTGGAATTTAAATGTGGGCAATATTTAGATTTGGATTCATGTCTTAGAGCTGCTTTGATTAGAACAAAGAGTCATAAAAAAACTGACAGATTGACCAAAAAAAGTCACTAGTAACAACATAAAGTGTTTTAAAAAAAGAATTAGAAGAAAACTTTTCACCAAATGGAAGAAGCAACCATATCCAATTATGAAAATCAATAAACACGAAAACACCTTTTCAAACATCTATATGTATATCTGATATATGTACACCAGGTATTTACACATATATATTTATACATATACATATTATTCTCAATGGCTAGAAATAAAAATTTCTGTTATAAATGCAATTTCATCCTAAAATATCACTAAATATTCATAAAATTTTCACTAAAATATCATAAATATAAAATATTTATATAAAATATAAATATTCATGTGATATTCACTCAAATATTATAAATATTCATGGAAGTATTCAAATAAATATTTAGGAAAAAGAGTACTCTAACTTAATACAATGGATTTTATTGGGTTCTAGTATATTCTAGAACTATCTAGAACTAGTCTGTCAAACTATAAACTAGTTTAAACTAGTTTTATTGTTATATATGTGCTGCTTACCATGTGCTAGGTTTACATGATGGGCTCATTCAATCCTGTCATCATCTCCATGATGTAGGTAATACTCACTCCTGTTTTACAAATGAGAAAACGGAGCCAGAGAGTAAGATACACAGGAGCCTGGCAGTCTGCCTTCAAAGTCCGTGCTCTTCACCAGTGCTTTACCCTTCATGTAACACACTCCATCTTTAGAAACTAAACGAATTCATTGTATTTCTTGTCCCTCTCTTCCTTTTTTCTCTCCTATGTGGTTATTTTCTTCTCTCCGAGGAGCAACCCCAGTGTAAGCTATAGCCTACCAAAGACTGACACCTTGTGTTCACATTGCAAATTGTGCGGCTATTAAAATACTGCTTCACTGGTAAATTATTTAAGAAATTTTGTTTTATCACAATAAGGAGAAACAAAACTAAATTATATCATGTGCCCTGGCTTTTGCAGGTCATAGTGAAAGTCAATAATGGCATCAGAGACTTTTCCACCTCAGTAACTCCCAAACAGAGTCTCTGTGATGGCAGATGGCACAGAATTACAGGTAAGAAAAGCTGAGTGTCCTGGGTTTCCTTTACAAAGGTGAGCCTGCACACCCACCTGTGGGATGACGACCTGGAAGAACTTAGACTCTGACAGAGATTAAACTCTAGAAGTAGCCAAGAAAACAGAATCAGGGGGTATTTTACTAAAACGTGTATATTGAACCTACATGTAATTTGAAAATATGAATGCTGCCAAAAGAATGTTGGGAAATTGTTTAAATAATACATAACTTATAGAGTAAAAAGGTAATACAAGATTAAAGCATGCTTCCTTTCAAAGGAAAATGTTCCAGTGATTGCTTGGTTAAACATTGTTAGACATGATGTTGGAGATAGCGTGGGCTCTTATTCTGGAATAAATAAAAGCCATTAGTGTGGTAAGTCAGTCTCTTTCGTGTGAACAGTCATCACTTCACTGCCACTTACGACCAATCTTTTCCCTGTATTTCAGTTATTAGAGATTCAAATGTGGTTCAGCTGGATGTAGACTCTGAAGTGAATCATGTGGTTGGACCCCTGAATCCAAAACCAGTTGATCACAGGGAGCCTGTGTTTGTTGGAGGTGTTCCAGGTAAATGGTGTTTTTGTGTTTTTTTATTTTTGTTTTTTTGAGACAGAGTCTCACTTTGTTGCTCTTGGTAGAGTGCAATGGAGTCATAGCTCACAACAACTTCAAACTCTTGAGCTCAAGTGATCCTCTTGCCTCAGCCTCCCGAGAGCTGGGACTACAGGCATCCACCACAACACCCGGCTATCTCTAGAGGCGGGGGGGAGGGGTCTCACTCTAGCTCAGGCTGGTCTCGAACCTGTGAGCTCAGGCAATCCATTCTCCCTGTCCTCCCAGAGTGCTAGGGTTACAGGCATGAGCCACTGTGCCTGGCCATAAATGTTTAAAAAGGAAAAGTTTTCAAATCTAAAAAACAGTAAGTTCTCATAATGATTATTATAATATTAAGAATTGAGCCATGTATTTTCATAATTCACCTAATAACTCAAATGATTTTCTATACAGTGTCCTTTAATAGGAAAAAGCATGACAAAGTGACACTTAAGAACTAGACCCCAGCATTCTAACCAATAGGTATTATACTCCCTTGACACATTTGCTTATTTTTTTAATCTCTTTTCCCTTTAAGTACTTGCTACACATGTACACAGAGAAACATATGCTCTACTTTACTTCTAACTCAAAGAAAACTCATTTACTAACACCACTTCAGGATCTGAGAACCTTGGAGGATTAAGTTTGCTGATAATTACCCCCTTCCTTAGCAGGAAGGACTGTTCTGTTGTGTTTATGTAATGACATTACCTAAGAGAGGTTCCCAGCTGCAATCCTGTAAACATCATCAGTAACCACTGCTATCATCTGCCGAGAATGGCATATAATCCAGAACGGTGATAGGACGATACTTATGGATACCCCTTCCCCTAATTGCTTTAAACTTCTAAAGAAAGGATCACATCCTTATGTTGAATACATTTGTTTTCACACATTTCACTAATGTGGAAAAGCTGAATTCTGTAGCTGGGGCGAGGAATATAAGAATTAGATAACCAAGCTTTCCCATCTGGAATTTGGTGGGGAATTTGTATTGATATATCATAGTGGTACATATTTTGGGTATCATGTAATATTTTGATACCTGTATAAAATGTTTAATCAAGGTAATTGGGATATTTATTACCTCAAATATTAACTTTTCTTTGTGTTGGGGGCATTATAATTCTTCTCTTCTGGTTAATTTGAAATATACAAAATAAATTATTGTTAACTATAATTTTCCTACTGTACTACCAAATACTGGAACTTCTATCTAACCATGTTTTTATATCCATTAACCAACTTTCTTCATCACCTCTTTCCCTTTTCTATTCCCTTCCCAGCCTCTGGTAATCACCATTCTCCTTTTTACTTCCATGAGATCCACTTTTCTAGCTCTTTAAAGAACATGTGAGATTTGTCTTTCTATACCTGGCCTGGTGGGGATTTTAACAATCTTCTAACTAGATTGTGTTAGACTGACTCACGTAAAGTTAGACAAAGTTTTCAGAGAGTGAGAAAACATAGACAAAAGTAAATATCTGGGCTGAGCACAGTGGCTTATACTTGTACTCCTAGCACTTTGGGAGGCTGAGCTGGGAGGATCACTTGAAACCAGGAGTTCAAGATCAGCCTGAGGAAAAGGAGAGCCCATCTCTACAAAAACGTTGAAAAATTAGCCAGGCATGGTGGTGCATGTATATAGTCCCAGGTACCCATGATGCCAAGACAGGAAGATTGCTTGAACCCAGGAGTTTGAGGTTGCTGTGAGCTATGATGACTCTACTGCACTCTAACGCAGGGGATACAGCAAGACTCACACACACACACACACAAAATTAAAACATCTAACATTGGATACTCCCCAAATTGTAACAACTAATTACTCTTCTCCATTGTGTGAAGTTTTCAAATACTAGTATTGACAGTGATGGTAACTGAGCATTGAAATAAATATGTGAGACCCTCAAAAAGCAATTTTTTTTTCTCCTTTACTTCCTCCATCCATTCACATCTCCATTCCCCAGTCCTCCCCTCCTACTCCTGGCATTAGTTTTGAAAGGATCCTGGCAAAGGTCACCAGTGCACTTCATATAGGTACAATATGGAAAATGTCACCCATCAAATTCTAACAATTCTGCATACTGCTTCCTTTCTAGAAAATGCAACATAGTTTAAGATATTTCACAGGTCCCCAAGGGCCCAGAAGGTCAAACTCAGCATGCTATGCAAGGCTCTCGATCATCCCCCTCCTCCTTGCCCTACCTGGGGTCTCCCTGTGCCTTCTGGGACTTTGCTCCAAGGCTTTGCACAAGGGCATAGGGCTCAATTTCCAGGAAATATTGTTCTTCCTTTCCTTCCCCAGTACTTTTTAAAGGAACAACTTCTCCCACTCCTCCCCACCTAACTCTTTATTGGCCTTTGGGACTAAGCTCAGACTTCCACCTACACTCACGCCCATTCTCCCTACAATGTGTATGTAAAGTACTATTGTAGCACTCAGCACAAATACTATTGAATAGCTAAATAGTAAACTCCTCGCTGGAAGGGAATATAACTTCATTCAACATGCAACATGGATTGTGTATTAAGCTCTGTGTAGGGCCCAGGAGATGGACGAAAGAGCATGGGTGTCCTTCATGCAAGCTACAGCACTTGTTCTTCACTCTGCACCCAGATGCTTACTACATCATTACAACAAATATTTTTTCTTGGCTTTTGTTTGTTTTTGCATTCTGATTCCAGCCTCACACACTGCCATGTTGTAGCAACTCTCTATAAGAGTTGTTAAGCTCCACAGACTGGAGGGGCAAAACATGCCTGAAGCTGGCTTCAGGCTGCCTGAGACATGTAAGGAGTAGCAAACCTCAACTAATGAGCCAGCACACGGGAACCACCAGCCCACTGTACCACTGCAGCTTTTTTTTTTTTTTTGCAGTTTTTGGCCAGGTCCGGGTTTGAACTTGCCACCTCCACTACATGGGGCCAGTGCCCTACTCCTTTGAGCCACAGGCGCCTCCCACCACTGCAGCTTTTAATTCCATCAAGGATCATACCAGCCAGCCCAGAACAAAAGCAATTATAATTTAAGCTGAGTGTATATAATTAATTAATTATTTTGAGCTGTTCAAGAATAATCCCACTAAAATTGCATCAGAAACCAGAGCACTAAGAAAGCATCTGAGCCATAAAAAAAATACCCTATATGCACTGAATTCTTTTGAAATCCTTGCTGGTTCTCTTATATCACTCAGAAGATGTGCTTTCTATCGTTCAGAACCCTAGTGACTCATTATTTCTATCAAAAAAAAGCTAATGCATAAAACTCATAGAACCACACACAAAAAAGCCAACATTAGTGTATGACAATTTTAAAATCAAAATTAAAAGTTAAAGAAATTTTAAGTTAATGTTACCCACACGTGAGTTTAACTATTCATTCCCCTACTGAAAATCCCGCATTATTCTGTATATAGTCAAGCCTTCAACCTGGGTAACATTCTCTTAAAATCATGCATTGATTTTATTCACCAAATCTTTAGGATCCGAGGGCACTTCACTGTCACTACCTACTCATAACTGTCTAGTGAATTATGCAGACGTAACTGCTATATGAATTATTACCTCCAGATGATTCTCCCATGAACCAAAGGGTAGCAAGCTTGGGCAGAATGAAAACCTATGTTCTAAATCTGGTCTCCAAAATAAACAGAAGCATTAGATGTTTCTACCGCCATAATCTTTCCCGATCACCCTTTTTTTGTAGTTTTTGGCCAGGGCCGGGTTTGAACCTGCCACTTCCAGTACATGGGGCCGGTGCCCTACTCCTTTGAGCCACAGGCACTATCCCCTGATCACTCATTTTTCATTCTGACAAGGTACACTGAGCCGGCTTGAGGAATATATATTGTCATACTAATCTTAAGACAATAAAGGAAATTGATCTTTCAGGCCCCTTCCAAATCTAAAGCTTTACGGTTATCATTCTAAATATGAAATGCTATTTCCATGATTTATTTCCGGCACATAGATAGCTTCAGCATATTCTTACTCTATTGCTTAGAAAACTTATTACAGCTACTTGCTGATGTTTAATTTGCTGTCCTGTTTTATGTGCTTTCCTGAGTTACTGATTTCTAAATATTTTCCATCCTTTATCTGCTACTGCTCCCATAGCTGTTTGTACATAATAATAAGCTTTGATTAAAGGGATTTTAATTTTATGATATTTCTAGCTTTCTAAATTGTTTTAAATTGTATAGCTTCTATCATCCTAACACATTTAATTGTGAGCGTACAATTAATAAGCATAAGGCTTCTTCCAGATCTCTAATTAAGATAAGGGGAGAAAGTTCTCCTGGCATACCACAGAGCACCTGTGCTCACACAAAGATTATTAGGCTAGTGATCATTATCCTATTTATAGCTCTTAAACCCTGAGCTCAGAAAAATTAAAGTTTATTTGAATTCATTATTCTCTCATTATATTGTGTGAGCTGGGCCAAAATGTGGAGGCTTAAGGGTAAAGGGTAATGAATTAAACAGAAACATTAACCGAGTCCAAAAGCAGTGTAGAAGCTAAAATTGCTTTCCCTTTTCTCAGCAAAGCATACAATATAACTGCGGCCCAAGTGAAAATTCTCTGCTTAGGCTTTACATGTAAGTGGTGAATTTCAGCCTGGGAAGACCCCTTCAATGCCCAGAAATTTGGCCATAGAAAACATGGCAAAACATTAAAATTACCCCATGTTCATATTACTTCAAAAGCAAATAATGTTCCTGAGAAATGAGTCAATGACAACTCTATTCCATATTTGACATTTAAATCATCTGGATGTGAGCAATTATCATATATGTTTTTATCCAGAACTAATATTTGGGCTTGAAATGCCTCAATCGCAATCTTTCTTTTTATAACTCTTTTCAGAGTCTCTACTGACGCCACGCTTGGCTCCCAGCAAACCCTTCACAGGCTGCATCCGCCACTTTGTCATTGACGGGCGCCCAGTGAGCTTCAGTAAAGCAGCCCTGGTCAGCGGTGCAGTGAGCATCAACTCCTGTCCAGCAGCCTGACTTAGCAGAACACAGCTGCCCAACGACAAAGTTCTTTAGAGCACTGAGATGAACACAAAGCCAGCCAAGAAGAACAGCAGCTCTTCTGGTGGCAGCATTCCTCTAGTTACCAGGACTTAAACGAATCATCAGGGACTGTATGCTTCTTATTTTCAATCTGGATTCTCACCTTGGATACAAAATGTCTACAATGGACAACAATGGAAGCAGTGGTAAACTTACTTGTATTGAAAGCACACACTTACTTCCTACTGGTGAAATTACCGTTCCGGTTTCTAATAAAACAGAAGGGATTCTAAATAAACACTGGCACACATTTTTAAAGAGCGGCTAGATTCTCAGATTCATCTTTATTTCAGGGAAGATAACGTTCAATATAGACCAAAATATCTTCGTCCTAAACTACCGTTTTTATCTTGAAAAGATTTACTAATTTACATATGATACAAAATTAGATAATAGATGTTTTAGTACTTTTGTTTGGTCTAGCAGTATAACAAGAATATCTTAGGTCTATAGCAGCAACTATTGAGGTTTAAGAAAGTAAATTTCCAACAGATTACTAGAAAATGGTAGTATAATTTAATTTTTTCTAGACAAGAAAAAATATGAACAAACTACTTTTTATCCTTCCTTATCTCCTTAAAAGAAAAATAAAATTATACATAAGGGGAGGCTCCTATAGAATATTATTGTTGCCATTATTGTGTGTTTTATAGGAATCATCAAGGACATCACAGCAAAGACAGTAGGACAAAATCATAAAATTCAATTTAAAAGTCTTTTTCTTGAAAGTCTGTTCCCCACATACCTGCAACACTAGTCTTATTTCTAAAATTTTATGATTTTTTCCAAGTAGCTATATTAATAAAGTCTAGAATATTAAAATATAGAATTATACATGAAAATATAATTATACAAGAAAAGACAATCAACTCAGAAGACAGAATGAGAGAAAACAGCCTTGATATCGGCAGGATTGAAGATACATAAAACAAATTAATTTGTGAATGGAGGGGGGTATAAAATATTTTGAGAAACTACCAAAAGAAATAAAACAATCTCTTACCTTGGAAAGATATATATACCTCCCTATATTCTGGTACATAGTTAATGATAATCTTAAAGAAATCACTGAAAATAACTAATGTTTGCTCATAGAGGACTTGCTAAGTGCCAGCCACCATGATGAGCTGAGGGTGATTATTATTTGTCACACTAACCCCATGATGTAAGATTTGCAGTTCAGGTAAATGGCCTGTTGTCATTCGGCACTGGAAGCAAGATTGCCCACCTCCAGGGACAGCATGACTATGCCCTTGCCCCCCTGCCTTTGAAGATTGTCTGTCTTCAGGTCAACCAGAGCCAGAGAGGTACCATTAAGGAGTGATTTTCTCACTGAGAAAACAAAGAGGGCATTTGCTAAGGCTCAACTAAAAGGGCAGAGGAAATCAGTTCAGCCAATTGCCAATATAAAAGAACACCCTGAAGGGCCCGAATTTCCAAAGAAGCTGGAAATGTGAAATTCAGGTGGCTTTAAATGGCCTGATTGTTGAGTTGGCAATTGAAACAACAGAACCACAATGGGAAAATGCTGTGCAGATGAAACAAAACTTTGAGAAGACCCATATATACCTCTGGGCTAAAGACTTTAAATCAAAGAGTCTGGGGTCTTAACTGAAACACGGCTTAAAACACTAAACCCTTATGATGTTCCCTCCATCAGATCCCAATAGGTGGAATGGCTCTGAAATAATCTATTGTTTTCTTTTCTAAAAGAGTCTCCTGAGGCCATTCTATCCCCTCATCCTCAGCAGTTGCGCAAAGTAAACTAAACCAGCCAACTTGAAGACCCTTTCTGGACCTCCAGTAGCACCAGCAGTCACTCACAGATTCACATTTATGCAAACTAAAACCAACCATAGGTCAGGAGCAATGGATCACATCTGTAATCTACCACTCTGAGAGGCCGAGGTAGGAGGACTCTTTGAACTCAGGAGTTAGAGACTAGCCTGAGCAAGAGGGAGACCCCATCTCAATTACAAATAGAAAAATTAGCCAGCCATCATGGTGGGCACCTATAGTCATAGCTACTCAGAAGGTTGAGGCAGGAGGATCACGTGAGCCCAGGAGCTCAAATTTGCTGTGAGCTAGGTTGACACCATGGCACTCTAGCTGAATGACAGAGACTCATCTAAATAATTAACAAAATAAATAAATAAATAACTCATTACTTCTCCACAATTACAAAGGCAAGGAGTTACCTCACATTCTTGCCAGGGTCCTTTAAGACCTGTGGAACCTGCAGCAATTGACTGGGAAAAATGAAAGTAAAAGAGGTGGGAGATAAATAAACAGGACACAGAATAGAATTTTGAAAGGTTGACCACTGCTAGCTTGTAGGGCTTCAGCGAGCAGCCCTGAGTGCTTGTTCCACCAGCTTTTATTGAAGGCTATTTTCTTATTTCACCAAGATGATAAGCTGAGGAAGGGAACAAAAACATCAGCAGTTTCTCTGAGTAAGCATGTTAGTTCTTATTCTATCTATAATAATTAACTTTAAGGGTCTGGGCAGCCTTGAGGTATCTGGAACCTTAGCCGTGTGGTGGGGGGCAGCCTCCTATTTGTGGTGGCACACACAGATCCCTTGGGGGAGGTTATCCCCTCTAGTTCTCTGTGGAGCAGATGTGATATCATCAGCCTCCCCTGAAGAATTGGTGGAAAGAGGAATTCTCCCCTTATCTCTACCCAGAGGCATTCCCTCTGTGGTTAGGGTACAATCCCTCATGCCCATATCTCAGGGTTTGAGCTGTTCCCTTGATCTCTGCCCTGGGCATTATACAAATCCCCACAATGGGTATTTGCTTCTGGAAGGTTTTTGACTATTGACTGGGAGGGGTTAGCCTGGTTAATGTTCCTTCCCAGGCCTTCCACACAGCTTCTGTTACACCCTTGTTCTTCAGAGTCCTTACAGACCCAGCAGGGGTGTTTCTAAGCTGTATCCCTTACAGGCCAGGCTTCTAGTAAAAGCAGAAACTGCCCAGACAAGTAATTCAATTGTTATGTTAAAAGTAAACTAGCTAAATTGTTTTTATTCTATCTTGCTCAGCTTATTTCTCTGTTTTTCCCCTCTTCTGGAGGTGTTTTCCCTTGCCAAGAATGGGGTCTTCAGTCTCCCTGCACATTCTTACGCTAAATAAATGAGAATCTGGTGATCCATATACTTCTTTAAAACCACATGTTGCTCTTCTAAAACTGTGAATTTACCATTTATAAGAGATTGATTCAGTCAGTTCTTAGATGGGATCAGATCCAGCTTCTGTCTACAGAGAAAGTATTAATAGCATGGTTTTTGTTTTAGTTAATTCATAACCTGTCAGCTGCATACAGAGAAGTATAGGTTAAGTATTTATAGTATTATAATTTTTACCAGTAGTTTATAGCCCCTGCCAGTTCAGAGTCTGTTCAAAATGAAAAGGCTTTTCCACATTCACCGATTAGAAGAATCAGTCCTACTTTGCCCTGTGTTCCACTCTCTCCTTTCATGGCCACAACTGATTGTACAGGGAGGGCAGCATCCTACCCTCCCAGTGTTCCCAGTGAAGCCACATTCTATTTCTTACTATCCAAAGATGACTTTCAACAATTGAATATTTTCTCTTCAAAATTTTGAATTGGGAAACATAGAAAAATCAGGCACTTAGGGTGGCGCCTGTGGCTCAAAAGGGTAGGGCACCAGCCCCATATGCTGGAGGTGGCAGGTTCAAACCCAGCCCCAACCAAAAAAAATCAGGCACTTAGCAGTAGAAGCTGAAGCCAGACAGATCCTATTTGAAAGTCTGGTTTTACTTGCTTACCACATACATTTACAGCCACACAAAAAATAAAATACAAAGAAAAGGCAAAAACACTTGGCATTGCCCACTCTGCAGACCCAGGATGGCACATCTACCTGCCCTTGTCCAGCTGTAGCCACCTCAGCTCTCAGCCCAGAATTTATAGTGAGGCATCTTCGAAGACTCTGGAACATACTTCTCTGATACCATTTCCTTGTACTGAAGACAACAGCATAGGGGTCAAGAGGGTCTTTCCTATTTCCCTAAATTGGTCCTTACAGCCTATAGCTGGGATCATAAAATATTAAATATATCTCAGTTTAAAGTTCACCAGACTTTGAGGTGTGGAGCCAACCTCTCCTATAGGACTGGCTGAGAGAAGCAATTTCAGCATAACTGGCAGTGCAACACCCCATACCCTCAGTGCTACACACACAGAGGGAGGAGAGAGTCTATGTAAAAAGTCTAGAGAGGCACCTGGACCAGCCACTTTCCAGAACGTAATCTGCATGAATTTCTCTGGTATTCACTGATGTGTTGTAAGAGCTCAGACCAGTGCCTACATGTCGGTATGTGGTCAATAAATTTGAACTGAGTGGATTTAAGAGAAGCTGAGCTTCCAGAGTTTCAGAGAGTATCCCCTCCCCTCACCTCCCTAGAGAATCATTTGTGAAGTTCCTGGAAGTATGAGAAAAGAAAAAATTAATAGTTACTCCTCGGTTTGGTTCCACTGAGCCTTGGAGATCTCTGACTGGCCTGAGAGTGTGGAAAGAAGACAGGGGAATGAAAGTACAGCCTGCCAGAGATAAGCAACACTCCCTCAAGTCTCTTTCAAGTCCTGAAGAGTAGAGAAGACCGTGGGCTACCGTGAATAAGACCACGCAGTTTATAAACATCACCGCACCAAAGGACCCCATTCCCAGAGGAGACTGCTGGAGAACAGGATGGGGTGGCCAGGGGGTAGATGAGATTGAGGGATGAAAGCCTGGGACAGAGAGGCAGAAACATAAAAGGCAGCATGACCAGCAGGACACCAGCTGCCAGAAAAAACAACTGAATCTCAAAGAAGTGATGGTGGCTGCTCAGGATTGAGTCCCTCATCAGCCAAGCCAAACCACAGTGAGTTGACCAACAGTGAGCCAAATCAGCAACCACAACAGAAGTGGTTTTCAAACGATCATGTCTAAACACTGGTTAAGGAGCTGATGTCAACCTGAAAGCATGATGCCATAGGGATGCCCTAACACCTATGTAAGAAATGTAGGAAGGCACTTGTTCCAGATAGAGGCCTTAGAACACTAAAGAATTCATACTACTGAAATATTGTTTATCCTTTTGATGTCTTTAAATCTGTAGCAATGCCCATACTGTCATTCTTGGTATCCGTAATTTGTGTCTTCTGATTTTCTTGATATTTCTGGCTACACGTTTATCAATTTTATTGATCTTTCTGTAGATACAGTTTTTGGTTATCTGCCCTA